AGCTCACACCACCAATGCCAGGCTTGCAGCACCCATGCCAGGCTTACACCAGCAATGCCAGGCTTGCAGCACCCATGCCAGGCTTGCAGCACCCATGCCAGGCTTGCACCGCCCACATCAGGCTTGTACCACCCCTATCCGGCTCACAGTACCCATGCCAGCCTGGTAGCACCCATAACAGACTCGCAGCACCCATACCATGCTTTGCAGCACCCCTGCCATGCTTTGTGTCACCCACACCAGGCTCAGAGCACCAATACCATGCTCGTAGCACCCACGTCAGCCGCTGGCACCCCGGCACCGCCATGCTCCTGCCCCCGGCTGCCCCCGCAGGGCATTTGCACCCGACGGGCAGCACGACCCCATGCCGTGTCACCGCCAATTCGCACCGCCAGCGGGGGTCACGGCCGGTATTGATAAGAAACAGCCGGCTCAGCTGGGTGCCGCTGGGTTAGGTCACCCCTGTCCCCACCCCAGGGCCTCCAGCAGGCGGCACCCACTTGTGCAAGGGTGTCACGAGTTGGGGCGGCCTCAGCCCCCCTCTTCGAGCAAAGGGCCCGCGATAGCGGCAGGGCCGCAACGTGCCGGGGCGGCACTGGCGGACGATGGCGGCAATGCCGGGCCACGGCGGGGAGAGCAAAGGTCCCCCGGGACACAGTGACAAGGGGCCAATAAAACTTATACAGCCCCGGCGCCGGAATTTTCCACCCAGATCCCCGGGGGAATCGGGGGGTTCTTGCAGCACCCATCACCGTGGGGTGCCTGGGTGGGGTTGGGGGACCTGGGGTGCTCCGGCTGGGGGGTCCCAGGGGTGCTGGCCACGGCGGGGTCGCCGGTGAAAAGGTTCTTTGTTTGCTGGTCACGCGCCGGTGGCGGTGGTTGCGAAGCGACGGCCGGGCCGGGAGGGCAGGAGACGGCGGGAGAGAGGCTGCAGCCATGGCCGTCCGGCCCTGGGGCGCCTGGAGGGGGCCATCCCGGGGGCCTCAGGGCTCCCATCCCCATGGTGACGGGACGTCACTGGGTGCCCATCACCGTGGCATCAGGGCATGTGGCTGAGGCCATCCCCGTGTCCTCAGGGCACCTCAGGGGGCCTATCCCTGTGGCCTCAAGGCGCCTTGGGGTGTCTGTCCCTTTGGCATCACGGTGCTTCACAGTGCCCATCCTCATGGCTTCAGGGCACTTCGGGGTGCTTGTCCCTGTGGCACCTGGGTGTCTTTGGGTGCCCATCCCCATGGTGTCTGGGCACCTGTGGGTGCCCATCCCTGTGGCACCATGGGTCCTCAGGGCAAACAGTGCATGTGGCATCTGGGTGTCTCTGGGTGCCTGTTCCTGTGACACTGGGGTGTCTCTGGGTGCCCATGCAGTGGTATCTGGGCACCTCTGGGTACTCTCCGTGCCCGCCCAGCCCGTGACATCTGCCGCCCCCACATGCCGGCCGCCCCTCCGCGTGCCCACACCCCAGCACAAGGACACGTGTGGTGCCAGATCTGGGGGTTTATTTGCCCGATGCCACACTGGGAGGTCGCTGCCGCCAACGCTCAGTTCTGGCTCATGGTCTGGAAGGGAGAAGCTGCTGAGGGGGGAGTGCGGCACCCCGGCACCCTAGCACCCTGGCACACCACTGCCCTGGCACCCTAGCATTCCAGCACCCTGGCACTCTGGCAATCCAGCACCCCAGCAGCCTGGCCCATTGGCACCCTGGTATCCCAGCACCAGAGCACCATGGCACCCCGGCACCCCAGAGCCCTGGTACCCCAGAACCATGGCACCCAAGTGCGTTCCAGTCCCCTGGAACCATGGCATCCTGGTACTCTAGTGCCCCAGCACTCCGGTACCCAGCACCCTTGCACTCTGGTACCCCGGCACCCCAGAGCCCTGGTAGCCCAGGACCATGGCACCCCAGTGCCCTAGCACCCCAGCACCATGGCATCCTGGTACACTAGTGCCCCAGCACCATGGCATCCTGGTACACTAGTGCCCCAGCACCCTGGTACCCCAGCACCCTGGTACGCTGGCATCATGGCACCCAAGCACCCTGTTGCCCTGGCACCCCAGCACCCTGACACCCTGGTATCCCAGTTCCCTGGTGCTCCAGCACCCTGACATCATGGCATCCCATTTCCCCAGCACCCTGGGCATCCCAGCACCCCAGGCACCCCAGCATCCCGTTCCCCACCTCGGCGATCCAGTCCTCGAAGGCGGAGACACGGGTGAAGACCGTCGGCTTCTTGGGCGCGTTGCAGCCCAGCCCTGAGACGAAGCTGGCGATGCCGTGCACCTCCCAGTGCCCGTCGGCTGCCTGGCAGTTCAGGGGACCCCCGGAGTCGCCCTGGGGTACAGGATGGGGGGGAGTGTCAGTGCCAGGGGGGTCCCAGGGTGCTCCCCCCGGCCCGGCATGGCACTCACGTTGCAGCCGGCCTTCTCTGCCCCGCCGGCGCAGATCATGGTGTGGCGGATGGCAAGGATGCCCCACCAGTCGGGCTGGGTGCAGCGCTCGTAGGACACCACAGGCAGCAGCGCTTCCTGCAGCCGCTCTGGCAGTGGCCCCCCCGCTGCCAACCGGGTGTTAGGGGGGCTGGGGTGGGGGCCGTGCCATGCTCCGTGTCCTTCCTGCTGGCCCTGACCGTCCATGGCCAGCCAGCCAGCCAGCCGTCCATCATCTATCCCTCATCCAGCCACGTATCTGTCTGCTCCACATCCATCCAACCAGCCCACGTCCACCCATCCGTCCATCCATCCATCCATCCATCCATCCCTTCAACCCCGCATCCTTCAAGCCCTCCAGCCCTCCACCCTTCCCTCCATCCCTGTACCCTTCCATCCTTTCCTCCATCTCCCCATCCAACCCTCCATCCATCCCTCCAACCATCTCCCCATCCATCTCTCCATCTCTCCAGCCACCTCCCCACCCATCCCCCCATCTCCCCATCCATCCCTCCAACCATCTCCCCATCTGCTCCCTATCCATGTCCCCCCCCAGGACGTACTGGCCAGCCGCCCCCAGCCGCTCAGGTAGCAGGGGTACCCATCGGGCAGGACCGTGCCCGCCGGCGGCAGCTGCCCCACCTGCACCTGAGTGTTGAGCACCGCCAGGCGCTGCAGCTTCAGCAGGGCGATGTCATTGCTGCCACGCAAGGACACGTGTCATGGGGTGGGGGGGGGAGGCTGTTGGGGACAATGTCCCCAAGCCCCCCCACCCCCACCCAGGGACCCCGCTCACCCGCAGGCCACGCAGGAGCTTTGCCATTTGGGGTGGACGAAGATGTCGGTGGGGGCCACGGGGATGCGCTGCTCGGAGCCCTCCCTGGCACCCATGTCGTACTCGCCCAGCACCACCTCATACGTGAGCGAGGAGCTGCCCAGGGGACGGGTACATCAGGGGACACCGCACCCGGCGGCACCCCAGGGTGCTGCAACCCTCCTGCACCCCTCCCTGCACCCTGCACCTCCTCCATTCACCCCCCATGTGCCCATCTTGCGCCCAGCACCCCTTCCATGTACCCCTCCTGCACAATATATCACCCCTCCACCCCATCCCTGCACCCAGCACCCCCTCCATGCACCCTGCTCAAACCCTATGTCCCCATCCCCTCCATGCACCCGGTCCTGCACCCATTTGGCACCCTGCACACTGCCCCTACACCCTGCACCCCTCCTGCAGCCTACATCCCCCTGCACCCCCATCCCTTCCACGCACCCATTCCTGCACCCTGCACAATCCTTCTGCACCCTGCACCCCTTCTGCACACTCCCTGCACCTCCCCACACCTCCCTGCACCCCTCATGCATGCTGCACCCCTTCATGCACCCATTCCTGCACCCTCCACAATCTTTATGCACCCTGCACCCCTCCTGCACCCATCCCTGCACCTCACACCCCCTGTCGCCCCTTACACTCCCTCCTGCACCCCCAACAGTCCCCCCCCAGCACCCGCCGTGGGTCTCGGGGGGTCCCTCACGAGATGCAGTGTGCGGCCGTCATCACCCAGTTGGGCGCGATCAGAGTGCCCCCGCAAGTGTGGCGGAAGGTGCCGTCCCGCTCGTACTGCAGCGAGATCTGCGAGGACACCGGTGGGTGCCACAGCACCCACGGGTGCCACCCCCCACCCTACCCCCCTGCCCGCTCACCTGCCAAGGCCAGCTATAGGGTGCAGCATCCTGCCCGTTGACCACCCGTGAGTTTGGCAGCCCTGTGGCCTGGCTGCCTGCGGGACAGGGCGCCCGTCACCCACTGGGAACCCATCACCCCACCCGAGGTTGGGGACACGGGTGGGGGGCTCAGGGACACAGGTGGGGGCTCGGGGACACCTTACCGCCAGCCACCAGCAGCAGGAGGAGGCTCAGCATCGTGGTTATAGCTCAGTCAGGGCACATGGGGGTGGCTGCTGGCCTTAAATCCCCTCCGGTATCGGGGGCACCCAAGGGCACCCCTGGGAACCAGCACCTGGCACCCA